CGAACTTGCATTTGCTATTTTATATTCAGGTCGGATTTATTTAAAACTAAACATAAGAAACTCATTCGTGGTCCAAAAATCCCCCTCTTCCAAGTAAGGCTATAACGGCACATTGCAAAACGAGAAAGTTGAAATTCTCAGAAGTCATCTGTATGTTCCTCTACCTCTGCGCGCATCCCTTGCAGTGATTCAATGGTGTCAGATTCGGACCAGCTTGTCGAGCAACTCTGTCGAGTGCTTGAAACTGTGCAAATGTAGTCTTCTTTTATAGAAATAAAATTACAGTTTTGTCTGTCGATTGCGTAGAATCATGCAGTTTTTTGTTATTTTTACGTTTCTAGGCTATGAAGGCTCAAACGAGTCTCATCTCAATTTCTGTCAGTCTGTCTTTCTGTCTGTACCTACAAAATGTAAATTTACGCTGCCTACTCCGAGAAAACTATATTACCGATTATGATTCAAATCTTTTTCCTGCATTCACTGGATTGGTTATAGTGAGTTTTGACTATTAAAATATTTTGGTTTTTCTTTTCCGAGCTCGTTTGGCTCTTCCACCCGACCGATTTTCATGATTGAAGCCTCAAATTGAAGGTATGCACGCATAGATTTCACATCAAGCATCGGCATATTGATATTTATTTATTTAATAATGGTATTTATTTCAATACTGCGGGGCAGCATAGGTCCTCTAGTCTTATATATATATGTATTTTAAAAAATTGGTTTTTATTTTCCGAGTTCGTTTGGTTCTACTACCCGACCGATTTCCATGATTGAGGTCTTATGTTTAAGGAATGCTCGCACAGATTTCACATAAAGTATCGGCAATATTTATCTAATGTATTACTCCACCAAAAATATATATTTGATTTTTTTTATTTCTACTTCGATTTAAGATGCATTTCACCAGTTACAATTTTATCTAAACCTATATATTTAATATTTTGGTCTAAGAACCTTCAGTGAAATACCGGCTTTAATTTAAGCTATTAGTTATTGAAATCGGACGAGTTTCAAGCAAACACAAGATGAATAACCAAAATAAAACTGATATTTCATAAGGTTTTTCTATGGTTAAAAACCAATAGTTCCACTATTATTTATGTTTTTGATTTAAAATAATCCGTGAATTATATTAATTTGAGCTATTAATCTTTGGCTTTAATTTTAACTATTAATCTTTTGAAACAGTTAAAAATATAAAATGGCCTTTGGACCGTGACAGACGGAAGATGACAACAACGGAATTGAGATAATAATTGATGATTGAGATAATAGCGGAATTGAGATGAAACTTTTTTCGGATTCTTGAATGTTTAAAACGTAAAAATAATGTAAAAATTGATGATTCTGAGCAATGTACAGACAAAACTCTAATTTTATTTATATAGATTAGTACCTGTGGTGATTTTTATTAGAAATTTATTGAAGTAAATAAACAGCAAAGTTAAAAACCATCCGACCAGTGTTTTTATTTAAAAAGTACGTAGGCCTATTTGATTGGCTTTGTTTTCTGAACTAAAATATCTATTTCCTGATCTATTTTTAGTTCCTGGTTTCGAAACATAATTTGGCAAAACAATTATTTATTCATTAAACAACTTGATCGAAAAATAATTTCTAAACATTGGAGGACAATTAAAAAACTTTTGAATTCTAATAAACCTAGCTGCCGTACCTGTGTTTTACATCGGAGAGGATTTTGAAGAGAAAAAGTTTGATACACGTCACATATTTCAAATCCCACTCCAAACACGTCATGTTAATACGTTTACTTCCTTAAATTAAGAAAGTCACAATGGTAGCAAAAGTTAAAAGTTTCACAAATCGAATCGTTTCTACCTTTTGGACCGCAAAATCAAAGCACTGCATTGACAGCATTTACAGCTGACTTCGTTAAACATTCTGTTATCTACATTCTTCAAAAATGTAAACATTGTGAAACTTTGGAATCCCATGGGGCGTAACTCAAAGAAAACACGTTAAATGTAATCGGTATGTTTGTTAACCAGGTACAGGGCTACCTCTTGAATTGATATAGATAATAAATCGAAAAATGAAGAAATATAAGTTGATTGATTATTGGCTCTTACAAAAGGGTAAACAATCAAGGAACATGATTTAATTAAGTAACCACACATCACTGAGTCTATATCTTCATTCTTTCTTGTAAAAACCGCTTTGATTGTGGCTATATAAAATAGGGAAGTAAGATTTCACTGTACAACGAGCTCAAAAAGCTCGAGAACCAGCAATAAGATGGAAATAACCGGCAGAACCTTTAACCATCCACTGGTTCGCTAGTCGCTACCCCAGGTCGGTCGGTAGCCGGGTAGCCCATCAATGGAACCCGTTAGGCCCGCCCCGACCTCTTGCCCCAAGAGAGACAAGAATTTTGCCTTGTTCCATGCGCCTTTGATTGTTTGAGGCGGGAAAACTATTTGTGTGCTACGACCCGCGTAACACAGGATATTGTTTTCGTATTAGTTGGCCTTTTTCCAAGATGACCGTGACCGTTAACTTATTTTATGGACTCCCTTGGAGAATAATTCAAAACTACAAAGAACATTTCTAATCCCACAGTATACTAGCTATTTAAATTATAAATACTTCGGTGTTTGAAAAATATTTTTGGACGATAAATTTTACAGCTATTTGAAATCATCCAAGATGGCCGCTTGCCTCCAAGGACTCAACAATAGGCCTAATTGTGCGACTATAAAGCAATAACTTCCCACCTTGCGATTGCAAATTAGTTCGGTACATATTTGTATCCACAGTTGCCAGGCCGACTATTAAGACGACCAAAGATTACATTGACATTTAGGTATTTAATCTGTAGAATAGTAATTGTTAAGTAATCTGGAAGACAACTAATTAAAATGAAGTGCGAAAGATGGGTTATGCGAGTGCTCAATGCCTGAAGCATAATCCGTTTGTTTGAGGTGCGAATTTTCAAGCTTGTAGAACAAAAATAAATATCACAAAGTAGAAGGGCAGGGGTGAAAGTGACTGAAGTGACAGGATACCCGGTGGATTTTCAGTGACTGGATTCCAGTGGTATGCGGTAAAATATATAGTGACTGGCTTAGCAGCACAAATTTTACGTGACTGGCTTTCCCATGCAAATGCGGTGGTGACTGCATTAGCATAGCATTTTTTACGTAATTATATTTTAGTATTTTTAAGAAAAAAAGAGATATATACGTTCAGATATGTCTAAGCTTAAGATATTTACCAATATATATTATATATATATCATAGTCTTGAAATATATTGGGGGGTGCAACTGACTGACTTCCAGTGTATATTTTATGTGACTGGCTTCCTGGGCGCGGCCGTGTATATATATATACAGTAAATATATATATATATGTGTCCGTTAGCGCGATAACTCGAGCAAAAATGATCCGATTTTGATGAAATTTGGTACAAACGTGTAAACCTACGTTTATTTGAACGAGTTCGCGAACCAGCATGATCGGACCATGGGAACTTTATGGGGGCTTTTATGGGGTAAAAATAGGTTTTTCCCATTTTTGACCCAAAAAACATAAAATTTTGCAATTTCTTTCTAAACTATTTTGTAGAGCTTAAAAAACAAATTATTTAGTACCGTATATAGAAGCGTTATAATGCGCCAAATGGTTACGGAGAAAATTCCAAAAAATTGTAAATTTAAAATTCCCATGTTATTCTTATGGAGAATAAGTAAACTGTTGTAGTTTGCTTGTTTATAAACATATTTTGCCCAAATTTGGAAAATGTTTTTATAGGCTATCTTACTAACTATTAACATTTTACATAAAAAACACTTTTACCCTCCCTGTTGCAGCAAACCTAAGTATGTGTAAAACTGATTCTATTTAAATAGGGAATAAATGTGATATTTTTAAGGAGACATTTTAGTGTAAATCCATTCAGGGAAATGGAAATTCGCTTAGTCTGCAGGTTTGCAGCGGCGGGGGTATTTCCTTTTGTACTGTATTTTGTAATTGCTAGTATACTGTGGATAGACTACTTACAAGTCTTTTGTTTACTTTTTCCTTGTTATTCAATTCAACCAACATGGTTACTTAGCAACCCATAAGACTAATGTTAAAATAATGTGACTTTCAGTTTAATTTTTCTACGTAATTAGATTTTTGTTGGCAGTTGTAACTGTAGTAAACTCGTTTTTAGGCCAAAAATAATCTATTTACAACATTTGAAGAAAATCGTCGGAGCCGTTTTCGAGATCTTGGTACAAGCAAGCATACATACATACATACATACATACAAGCAAACATTGCTCGTATTAGAGTATAGGATTTTATGACATCACCTTGAGTTATTTTCAGTAAACCCAAGCATATTTAATTTTGAGCTGAGCGAAAATATGTCCAGGTGGTTGTTTTTTCTTACAATTTACTTTTAGCTTGAACTGTTATGTGCTTACTCAAGATGTTGGTTTGAATTGAAACTATCTCCTTTCATATAAAACATTTGTTAACAAGAAAATAGTTGGTGCAACTAAATTGGAGACTAGATTTAAAAAAAAAAAAAAAAAAAAAAACAATGGGGCTGAATAATGGGTTTCTGGAAAGAGATTCAAGTTCATCTAGCATAACCGAGATCAATAGAGTCCAGGGGCTTATAGATTGATATTCTTTGTTTATCTCTACAAGCTCCTGGGAACTAATTTTCAAAGGTAAGCTTACTAAGGTATCTCTGTCCAAGATACTCTTAAATAGTCTCCCACTAATTATACTGATACAAGTGATTGGTTGAAAATCCTTGTTAGAATATTAACATTTTTTTTTACTCTTAAGTCATTTAACATGTCTACCTGGCCTAAAACGTTAGTTCACATTAAGTCAAATTGCCTGTGACATTATTATGTTTGATTTAGGCTGTGGTTACTGTGTGTCCTTTTTTAATTTATTGATTATTTACTATGTTTATTGAATTATAGTATTGTCGAAAATGAAAATAAAGAATTAATTATTGTTATTATACAGGGTGCCGGGGGTAAGCCTCACATACTGCAGAAGACAGCAGTGTTGCCAACTATTATGGTAATGCAGGCTGTCTCACCTGGGAAGGAAGGAGACCACAAGATCATTCTGTCCCTCTCACAACCAGCAGTGCCTCTCAATTTGCTGTTTGTCGGTGAGTTGTGGTTATGTTCTGCTTCTATCATACCCTTGCGGAGCCCCACTTACGGATTGATTTCTACTGGAAGAATAATAACCTACAGAAAACTGTGAGTTGGACTCAACCAATCTTAACCCTGAGTATAAACAAATTTTACAGATCCTGAAAAATCCTCACTGGTCAAACCAACTCCATCAAAGAAGACATTCATTCCATCCTGACCTCTTGAATTCTCTGGTTTATAAATCCCACACCTGTAATCATAAATTATCCTTCATGAAAGAATGCGACAACATGAGGATAATACTCTCATTACTTACTAGATAATACTTACTTAGTTACTTGGCAATGAGTTGTGAATTTTTTAGCTGTGAAAAAAACTGAACATGCGACAGGATTGTCTCACACCTTGGCGCCCCACTGAGTTGTTACAGTGGTGTTGGGGAGATCAACCCCACAAGATAATATCAGTTGTCTGTTTGTTACAAAACTCTGTTATGTGTCTAGAGCTGGCTGCCAGTGAGGGATGGGAGAATGCAGGTTGTACAGACAGTGTGGCAGGTTTGTCTCACACCTTGGCGCCCCACTGAGTTGTTACAGTGGTGTTGGGGAGATCAACCCCACAAGATAATATTGGTTGTCTGTTTGTTACAAAACTATATTATGTGTCTAGAGCTGGCTGCCATTGAGGGATGAGAGGATGCAGGTTGTACAGACAGTGTGGCAGGTTTGTCTCACACCTTGGCACCCCACTGTGTTGTTACAGGGGTCTTGGGTGTTATATATGTATACTTAGGTCTTTACTTAATGTCAATTTACTTTGTCATGTTGGTTACATGCGAGGATAACGAGAAGGTTGTATTTCCTCCTTCTTCATATAATGGTTGTCACAAGATGTAGATGTCAAATTGTTCTATCTTCATTATGTTTTAATAAACTTGTATAGTTTGGCCAATGTAAAGTTGTTATTCTATCCAACAATTATGGCGACGAATGCGGAAATGAATTCAAAGTACATGGCCATGTTTTAGATGTTAATTAGGCCGATGCATGAAGATAATAAAAGGTGACGCCGATGGCAGGTATGTTGCAAGCATGTCGTTTTTAGGACACATCAAAGAATTTTAAGAATCTGATGACATTGAACTGTACCTAGAGCGGGTAGATCAATATTTTAAAGCTAATTCTGTTAAGGACGCCACTAAAGCTCCTATTCTTTTTAGGGCCTAAGCCTTATGGGGTTCTTAAAAAATCTAGTAGCCCCTAAATCTGTGGATTCTCTCGGATTAGAGGACATTGTCAAACATCTTAAGGCCCACTATGCTCCTAAAAAGCTTCTTATATCAGAACGCTACAAGTTCTACAAGAGGGATCAGCTCTCGGGTGAATCTGTTTCAAACTATGTCATTGAACTTAAGAGACTTGCTTCTCAGTGTAACTTTAACACATTTCTGGAGGAGGCGCTGCGGGACCGGCTGGTTTGCGGCCTCACCAACGAGGCGATACAGCGTAAGCTGCTTACGGAAAGTGATCTTACTTTTACAAGGGCAGTAGAAGTTGCGGTCTCTATGGAACTAGCTTCCAGGGAGTTAAAGGGGTTTCACGAGTCCAGTTCGGGTAATGTTCAAAAGCTGTTCCAACGCAAAAGTGGTGTGGATAAAAAGTGCACGTGTTGTGGGGAACAAAATCATGTTTGGTTTAATTGTAAATACAAGTCATATAATTGTAACATATGTAAAAAGAAAGGTCATCTAGCTAAAGTGTGTCGCAAAAAGAATGTACAGGGTACAACCTATTCAAGTAGTGGGGAAAGTAGTAGTAGACCTAAGAATAAATTTAAAGGTACAGCTAATGCTAAAAATGAAGGTAGGCCTGTTCCATTTTCTTTGAAAGAAGTAGTAGAAAAAGAGTTGAACAAACTTAAAACCAATGGAATTATCGAGCCTATTAGTCACAGTGAATGGGCTTCTAGTATAGTTGTTGTGCCTAAGCCTAACTCTGACCAAGTCAGAATTTGTGGTGATTTTAAGAATGTAAATCAATGTTTGAAAACTGAGCACTATCCGTTACCTTGTATTGAGCATTTGTTTCAGCCTTTATCTAATGGTAAGGTGTTTACTGTACTAGACATATCTAATGCTTTTCAGCAGTTAAAGGTTTGTGAGGAATCCAGACCCTATTTGACTATAAATACCCATTTGGGTTTGTTTAGGTACACTAGGCTACCTTTTGGTATTTCGTCGGCTCCGTCCATCTATCAGTCGATAATGGATCGGGTGCTTCAGGGTATTCCCAGTGTAGGCTGTTACATTGATGATGTAATCATATCAGGCTATGATTTACAAAGTTGTAAACTTAGAGTTGAGGTCAGAGTTAATAATTGTTGGATAGAATAAGAACTTCACATTGGCCAAACTATACAAGTTTATTAAAACATAATGAAGATAGAACAATTTGACGTCTACATCTTGTGACAACCATTATATGAAGAAGGAGGAAATACAACCTTCTCGTTATCCTCGCATGTAACCAACATGACAAAGTAAATTGACATTAAGTAAAGACCTAAGTATACATATATAACATTCTCCCCTCCTTATGTCAAGGCTTGTAACAAAATAAAAATTTTACTTCCACATGAATTTAACAAAATAACTGAATTTTACAACATAACTGAATTTAACAATATAACTGTTGAGTTAGGCCTTTTTAAATTATTATTATTATTTTTTTTTTTTTTTACAGACAGAAGAAACTAAAACTAACAACAACTTTCAAGTTACATAATGATGAAGACAATAAAATTTAAAATCACAACTTTCAAGTTACATCTGGTAAAGACAATAACAACTTACAACTTAAATCAAAATTAACCAATTTTCATGTTCTACTGTATACACTGTACTGTATACAAACTTGATGAAATTAAATAATATTTAAACATCTTACACTAACAAAAATAATTCTTCAGTAAAAAACAATATAATATAATACAACAATATAGCAATTCTTCAGTACAAAACAATAGGCCTATTTACAATTCATAGGTTTAATCGGTCAGGAGCCTTCTTGTTTCTAACAGCCCTACCTTGGCTCAACGACATCTGAACAGGTTCCTCCGATCTAGCGAGCTTACTAGCCTGATCATTACCAAGTGTCTGCTCTACAGGTTCATCATGTCTTGCATACTTATCAGGAGACAATTTTGGTTTAGGACTACGAGTTGCGACATTTCTTTTAGGACTGTCAACATTCTGACTTCTATCAGGTACATCATTAGGGCTCACGAACATGGGAGCAGTTACTTTTGTTAACAACCTAGACTCTGGTTTACAAAAATATGGCTTGAGGTGATCTGCATGAACAAACCTAGTTTGGTCCTTAACCTGAGCTGTATAAGTTACATTACTTAATTTTCTTACAATCACACCTGGAAACCACTTAATTTCCTCTCCCCTGACACTACGAACAAGTACATTATCACCTGGCACAAAACATCTTGTTTGCCTACCATTCTTAACTAGCCTATTAGCTATATCAGATCTCTTTTTCTTAAGACTATTACACAGATTTGGCTTAAGACTAGAGAGACGGGTTCTCAGTTGACACTTGAGAAAAAGCTCAGAAGGAGCTTGGCCAGTAAAAGAATGAGGAGTTGTTCGATAAGCGAACAAAAAATTATCAATTCTATGCTGCAAACTGATATTTTGTTTTGAAAGAAATTTACTTTCAATAAGTGAACTTAACAAACTTTTCTTAAATGTCTGAACCGACCGTTCAATCATTCCATTTGATGACGGATGGTATGGTGGGCTATGGATCAATTTGATTCCATTCATTTCACAAAACTTTTCAAACTCTAAACTACTGAAAGGAGGACCATTATCTGATACAATTTTCTCTGGTAGACCATAGCTTGAGAACAATGTTCTCAGTTTACATATCGTACAACTAGCATTTGTACTATCCATAATGAATATTTCAGTCCACTTTGAGAAACTATCAATGACAAGAAGAAAATTCTTATTGTCCTTCTTAGCAAAATCAATATGCAAACACTCCCACCTTCGGGTAGAAACAGACCAAGGGGTTAGCGGGACTTTAGGAGCCGCATTTTGAGATAATTGACAAACTTGACAATACTTAACAACATTAATAATATCATCTTCAAGGTTAGGCCACCATACATAACTACGTGCCAACATTTTCATCCTAAGTATGCCAGGGTGTTCTTCATGTAAGAGAGCCAACACCTCTTTCCTTAACTTATATGGAATAATCAATCTGTTACCCCACAAAATACAACCCTGATCAATAGACAACTCATCTCTACGTTTGAAAAAAGGTTCTAATTCCTTTTCAACAAACTTTGGCCAACCAACCAAAGTCAAATCCAAAACTTTTGAAAGCAAAACATCTTTTTTTGTTTCGGCAGCAATGTCATATGCAGACAAAGGCTTACATCGAGTAGGAGATAAATAATTTACTTCACAACTAATAGGATCATCCGTATTAGGCAAGGGCGAGCGAGACAAAAAATCAGCACGACCTATGTCGGTACCCTTACAATACTCTACCTTATAATTATATGACGAGAGAAGCAATGCCCATCTCTGCATACGAACTGCTGCCATTGCGGGTATGTTTTTACTGGGGTGCAGTATGATCGACAAAGATTTGTTATCTGTTTGCAAAATAAAAGATCGTCCATACAAGTATTTATGATATTTCTTTAACCCAAACACAATTGCTAACGCTTCTCTTTCTATGTGCGCATAGTTTTGTTCATGTTTCGACAAAGTACGAGATGCGAAATGTATCGGTTTCTCGCTACCATCTGATTCTCTGTTTGAGATTACTGCACCAACACCTACTGAACTTGCATCACAACAAAGCACAAGTTCCTTTTTTGGATCATAATGACATAAAACATTGTACTTTTTTAACCAAGTCTTACTGTCTTCGAAGGTATGCATTTGCTCTTCACCAAATATAAATTTAACATCTTTTTGCAATAGCCTATACAATGGTTCAAGCTTTGTTGACATATTCGGAATGAACTTATGATAATAGTTTAATAAACCTAAATAGGCTTTTAACTCTTTCACATTTTGAGGGGGCCTAGTTTCCTGCAAGGCTTCAATTTTACTTAACATGGGATGCAACCCTTGTTCATCTATCACATAACCTAAGTACTCTACCCTAGGTTAAAAAAACTTGCACTTCTTTTCATTTACATTGGGAAGATCAACCCCACAAGATAAATATCAGTTGTCTGTTTGTTACAAAACTATATTATGTGTCTTAGAGCTGGCTGCCAGTGAGGGATGGGAGGATGCAGGTTGTACAGACAGTGTGGCAGGTTTGTCTCACACCTCGGCGCCCCACTGTGTTGTCACGGTGGTCTTGGGGAGATCAACTCCCCGGTATCGTCTGCAGGCTGACAACGCGGCAGCTCTGTGTTTGGTTCTCTCACAACTTACCGCCAGAGTAGAGGGGTAAGGCCTCTTTGTGTCTGTTGACAAACTGTATTCATCTATTTTATTAAGTTGAACACTGTTACAAAGGTTACATCATACATCAAAGAAGCAATTAGCCTACAAATGATGGTATAAAATAAACAAAAATGGCATTATTTATTTATAAAATAAACTACTCTTATCTCCTTTTTCATATTGATAGAAAAGTCACAAATAAACACGAAACACAGTTAAGTCAAATAGGCCTACTTTCAGTGGAATATATTATTATAGTACTAGGCAAGAGTCAATAAAATTCCTATTTTAATAACTTTAATACTGTAATGTATTAATTGATGCTTTCCAAATACATCGTAATACAGTACAGAACCTTTTGTCGACATTAAAGATACAAGCGACCATTTTGTTAAAAACAGGACGTTTATTTATAGCCTCTCACTGGAGGCTCGAGGCACAAAAACTATCTTGACCTTGGAGTTGTTAACGCCTTCCTTACAAGTTGCGTTGTTTGTTTACTTCGGCGATAAGATAATCAGTTCTCAAAATCGTAACGCACTTTATGATGTTATAAATTTGCCGCACAGATAACAAATCAGATCAGATGTGCTCGAGCTACGAACGATGATGACAAACTGACAATAGGCTATGCTATATTTTTTGTGCTCAACACAAAATAGCTTATTGTTAGTCATATCCTGTGGAGATATGCGTATGGCTCAGTTCTCATCGCCCAGCGTGGGAGCGGAAATGCAGAGATTCCTAGAAAGCGGCGGTTAAACCGAGCTGCTCTCAAATCAAGGTCGGTTAAAACAAACTGTATTATTTTACGATCGGTTGGTGTCTACCAACCGGGAAATCCGCGAAAACCGGGAATTGTACTTAAATTTTTACTGGCCATGAAATGTACGGGAATTGTCCTTAAATGCCAGACAATGTCCTTAAATTTTTAATGGGCCATAATTTTATTGATCGCTAGTTGGTTAGGAGCACATAAAAGGTTTATCAGATGTTTGTTTACATTTTCATAATTTATTACTAAAGTAATTATGCAATAAAAATCCCATTAACAATCTCAAACACATTAATATTTTATCACGACAATCAAGTGTCAAGTCAAGTACTTCCAAGAACTGTTGACTCAGCAGCTAGCTCATAAAAGTTGTATCACTTTTATTCCTTTACAACTTCTTTTTTTATTACTAGGGTAGTTATTATTAGATCCCAAACCTATTTTATCGTGAAAATAATAGCTTTATAATGGCTGTTAGATTTCACTTCTTACTTGTACTTTCGGCTTGAAGATTCAATTTGCCGGCCAGTGCCTAGTGCCATAAAACTGTTTATGGTTTCATATTAAACATGTAAATAATCTACAGTCTTATTTTGTAAGTTAACCCCTTTTTTATAGACATTTTATCTTTCAATTGACAAAACCACAAGCATTGTTGTTTGCATTAATGTTTTATCACTATTTAGGCCTGCTTGGTTTCAAATTAGGTCATTCCATTTTCTGTATCTTTGTCTTATATTGTTGGCTATTCAGGTTTCAATGTTTTTGTTTCCCATATATTTATTTATTGAGTTGTATGCTTTAGGCAATCAAAATCTTATGAACTAGAATGATGATAGTAACTTTGCTGCTATTATAACCTCATTGTTTGTTACTCAGTTTATATAGGCCCTCCTAAATAATTAGGTCTAGGCCTGGGTATTTTGATTCTTGAAAGAGCTGTAAAATATATTAAGAAAATGTAATTGAGCCTATAAGATAAACAACTAATGATTGCTATGTGTCGATATTAACTTTACAAATGAAAATACAATAATCTTACTCTGTGCTTATTGCTTATTTATAGCCGCTTACCATACCTTGATTTTGTACTAAGAATTGAGTAACAATATGCAATAAAGATTTTTTTTCAAAAGTAGTCGAGAACCTAACGTTGTGCCAGGGCGAATCATGCCAAATTAATCCGCCTGGATCGGATAAGCTATGTTATGAAGTTTACGTGACGGATGGAGATATTTGTCGCTATCGCAGGAGACAATGATTGATTTTGAAATGAATTGAATTGAAATGATTGCGTTTCGCTGTTACACTATAAAAGCTTTACCTAAAGTATAGGTAGGCCTATGTTTGTTTACTTTCAATAAATTTCTATTTTGTAATTTTTAACTCTTATCTATTATTATTTACTTTTCTCTCTGGTACAACTACAGTGAATAACAAGATTAATACAGTTTGACAAATCAGGAAAATTATTCGGTAGGCCTAATGACACCTAACGACAAAGGTTACGGCAAAGTGTCCTTAAATGTACGGGAATTGTCCATGAATTTTTTATCCAGAATGTAGTAGACACCCTGATTTCAGAGTTAAATTTGGAGATAGCATTACAAAATTGTACCCAATTCAAGCTGGCGTTCCCCAAGGAAGTGTTCTTGGACCTGTACTATATACGCTGTTTACAGCCGATTTACCTGAAAATGTGAATACTTCTGTGGCCACTTTTTCTGACGATACTGCTATTTTAGCGTCCCATCCTGATACAGTGGAAGCTTCACTTAATCTTCAAAATTCACTAGACGACTTAGAAGAATGGTTGCAAACATGGAAAATAAAAGTGAATGAGAGCAAATCTACTCATGTGACCTTCACTACCAGATTAGGTACTTGTCCTCCTGTAACCTTAAATAATGTTCAAATTCCTCAATCCCACGAGGTGAAATATCTCGGCATGACGATTGACAAAAGATTGACATGGAAAAACCACATCTGGAACAAAAGAATGCATCTAAATTTAAAATTTAAAAATCTTTCCTGGCTCCTAAATAGTAAATCAAAATTGACCATTGCAAACAAATTATTACTATACAAAGTAATCCTGAAGCCAATTTGGACTTATGGAATCCAACTGTGGGAAACATCCAGTATGTTGAACATAAACATCATCCAACGATTTCAGTCAAAAGTTTTAAGGTTCATTCTGCAAGCCCCGTGGTATGTTAATAACAATATCCTTCACAAGGACAGTGGAACGGTTGAAGAGGAAATAACCAAATTTAGTGCAAAATATCTTAAGAAACTTGAAAATCACCCTAATCACCTGGCTCTAAACCTCTTGGACAACAGTACCAGTATATACAGGCTAAAAAGGATTCATGTTTTGGATCTAAGCACACGTTTTGTTTGAACAATTTAATTTTCCCTTGTTTATTTACATATTTATTTTTTCATTGAAATATTTTTAAGTTAGCTCTGTCAATGGACAGAGATTAACTAACGTTTTATTAAAAGTTGTTATTGTATTTGCTAAATGTTCTAAAAACGAACAGATTGTAAATAAAATTGTGATAAAAAAAAAAAAAACTTAAGGGCTAAAGTTTGGAAGGAGGCGCTATCTGTTGACATTAGATCAAACTCATTTCCCTTTGTTTACAAATAACATATGGACGTAGTTTGAAATAGTTTTTAAGGTTAACCACAGACTGCAGGACTTAAAACTTCCAGAGTAAAGCCGGAATAGATATTTTCATTTAAACGTCTGTTAAATAAGTCTGGTTCATAAAATAGTTTCCTAGCAAAACTTGATAACACATTGTCCGTAATATTTGAATTAATTTAACTTGCTTCTTATTTTACTGAATTACCATGTAGTTTTGGTTACAGTTCGGTGTGATGAACAAGTGAATGTTTGAAAGTGATTATTCTTAGTGCAGTTACCTACCCGTTGCATTACCGTATCACGTAATTTACAATGTATATCAAAATTCCGTTGTAGTGTTTTCTGTTGTTTGGTTAACTTACGTATTTTTACGTACTATACTTTCAGAAAGTTATTGGAAACTCCCAATCTGAAAACAGGGCTGCGAGGCTTAGATCTAAAATTCGTCAATTCAATTTTACCTTTGCCATGGTCAGCTGTGAAGCTCATTTAGATGAGAGGATCACACAGGGGATCTACAATTTAAAGATCCATGACACATGTTATCTCCGAGTAAATAATCTAATACCTTTAGAAGGTCATCGGGAACCCGCACAGATGTATAGTTGAGTACGACGTTGGCACTGGAACCCAACAGCGCTTGAAACCCAATTCAAACAAAAATGCCAGGAAAAAATATGCGGGAATAAGGTCACATTGCCAACCTATTTGCCTAATCTTTTAAAATTATGGCAGAATTTTAGAGGATTTTTAGAAGGGACGAGAGGTCCGATGAGTACAGTGAGATTCATGTGCTTACTTATGCTACTTAAATAAATGTCGCAGCTATTTTTAAAGCTGAAACAGAGCACAGCCTGGCCAAATAAATCATAGGTCTTTTTCAAAAACTAATAATGTTAAACGCGAATCCGTTCTAGATCCGTCGTTAGATCCACTTGCTTACCCTCTTATGTTCCCAACCGGAGACTTTCGTTGGCGCCCCTAATTTAAACACGCCTAAAAACATAACATATAGGTAGTACAAATAACATAACATATAGGTAGTACAAATAATTTAACAATGCTATAGTACGTGTCGTACTGGTTAGTGAAAGAGTGTCTCTGTGTCCAGTGAAGTGAATGAGCAGTCTGAGAAAGTATGTGATAAAGTTAAATCCCCCCCCCATTATCACTCCTGGCCCCTTCTCCTTCTCAGAGATGGTAAAGGGAGTAGATACTAATTGTCAACCCACATCTTATAGTGAAACCTCAAAAACAAATAATATTCAAGAATGTAATTTTTTAGAGATAAGGCAGGCAGTGTTCACAGCGGAATGACAGCTATACATAAAAATAAAACAAGGATTCTTAAAGACGAGAGTCTATTAATATTGAATATTAACATACAGGGCCTGAGGAGCTCAAAAATTGATTTAGAATTATCTCTAGATATTAACAAACTAAGTCCAGCAGTGATGACTATCTGTGAACACTGGCTCAATGAGTCAAACTACTATGTTGCACATACAATTCATAACTATAAGCTAATTTCAATAAGTGTAAGAGATACAAAACAGAAGGGAGGTGTATGTA